ATTAGGAGTTGAAGAAAAAAATCCCCAAATTAACAAAATGAAAAAAAAATTTGTTCGAACAAAGAAAATCTATAATTTAATCCCTAGTGGAGCCGACGGTTTCGTTTACTTAAATTGTAGGAAATATGAGGTAAGGAGCCATAATTTCTCGAACAAAAATACATTCAGAAAGACGTATTTTTGAAGCCCAAAAACCACAAATGGCAGCAAAAAAGACATGAGTTGTGGTTACTTGTAGATCGCACGAGGTCAGGAGCACGGTGGTGAGAATGGCTTAGGAAGGTTAATGCTAACGAAGCGATTATTGCCAAGATAACAAACTGAAAACAACACTTGTTAAAATAAAGCACCCATCACTGCATGCATCCAAGTGTGGGAGCGGCGCGTGTTATCTTTCGATTCTTGACACGCGATTGCACATATGCGCAGCGTGAACGAAGATAGAACACTCGCGCTTCATTTGCGTTCGGGGTCACATGAAAGTTTGTGATTAAAATTTTACGTATATTTTCAGGAGCACAAACAAGTGGGCCGACAGAGTATAAAATTTTACGTATATTTTCAGGAGCTCACTTAAGTGGGCCGACAGAGTAGGAGTATTTACTAGTTATAAAAAAAGCATAACTACGAAACACTAAAGTTTGAAATTTATAGTCGATTCCAGGCTTACAATTGTTTTGAAGTATACACTCGTTCTATTATTATTTAGCTTGCACTCCACTTGTAAAAAATTTAATAAAATTAAACTCATTAATTGTGCGGTGAGCACGCAAGTTAGCAGCAAGCGTCCGCAAGTTGGTAGCGAGCTCACATAAATTGGTAGCAAGCTCACATTAATTGGTACCCGTAGCAAGGATAAGCAAGTTGGTAGCAAGCTCACGTAAATTGGTAGCAAGGCTGAGCAAGTTGGTAGCAAGACGCCCGTAAGCTGGTAGCAAGCGCACGCAAGTTGGTAGCAATCGCACGCAAGTTGGTAGCAAGCGCACGCAAGTTGGCAACAAGCTCACATTAATTAGTAGCAAGCTCACATGAATTGTTAGCAAGCTCACATAAATTGGTAGCAAGGATAGCAAGTTGGTAGCAAGCTCACATAAATTAGTAGCAAGCCCATATAAATAGGTAGCAAGCTCAGATAAATTGGTAGCAAGCTCACATAAATTGGCAGCAAGCTCACATTAATTGGTAGCAAGGATAAGCAAGTTGCAGCAAGCGACGCTAGAGTGTGCCGGAGATCTCGAGCTGAGGAGTTACGCAAACGTCGATCAGTGGCGCTTGAGTCGCTATTATAGCTACTCGAGCGTCGCGCTCCGTTTAATCGCGCGACCTGCTGTTGCTCAGTATTTTCCTTCACTTCGATAAGAAAAGCACCATAAAGGTCACTGCGCAGGTATCAAATGATTTTTTGGGAGACTAAATATCACAAATGCAGTCCTTTTAACAAATAATAATTTAGATGAATTTTGGCTAAATGTTTGACTTTGGAATTACATTTGACTCACTACAACTACAATTAAATAAATTGAGTTATTTCGAAACAAATTTTGATATTAATGCATTTTTATACAAATTTTTATATCATAAAATACCTCTTACTTCCGACAGTTAGTAAATGTCAATAAATAAGAGGAAAAGACGCCTTGAAATGAGCCCATCGCAGGGAAGTGCGCTCGAAATGTTCTGTGCCGAACAGAACGCACATTAATCATCAGAGTAACTATACAACGGAGATACGAACACTCATAAATATTTATATTTTAAACTAAAATGTCGTTCAAAATGTGACCGGCTTCAAGTCCATTATAATGAAGTCAACATAGACGTTAAATAATATATATGCTGCTTATTTATCACATTAACCTCATTTTCAGCAAAACCACTTGAATATCACTAGGCCTCGCTAATTAATGTTCCTTGCTAATTACTTACATTTAACACTATTTGATCATCACCGGACCCCGCACAAATCTATCCCTAATTAAAATAAGAATAAAAGACACTAATATCACGAAGATAGTGAGTAGTTAACGGTAGGACCGAGTGCGCTAATTACTGGATCACTTATCCTTTCTTCTCAGGCCTCTGTTTCCGCGTCTGCTTTTCAGATCCACACGCAAATATCGGTGTAGCTGTATCTCCCTTAGTACTTCAGCACTAGGATTTCCGAAAAATTATTAACAATATCAACCATAAATAAAAATCGACCCCTATAATACAACGAAACCAATAGTTAATTAACTTACCAATTATTGCGCGCATCATCAAGCATTAATAAATCGGAAAGAATTGTCCCATGATTGAAAATGGGTTCCAATGAGTCATAATTAATTGTACTCCTCAATGTCATCAACAGCGATCGATCGTCATCGGCATTCCCGGAATGTCCACCACAAAGTCGTTATAACTGTTTCCTCTGTTGTATTGTGAGATAGCATCTAAACAACGAACATTTGCATGATCTTTCGCCGGCTTAATTACAGTATCTATTTTCGTGTGAATTTTATTTAGATGCATCTAAATGGGAGATATTTGTCAATAGGTAAAGTTTATATGAGCACATAGGGATAAATTATGTTGAAGGAGTTACAGTACGTCTTACTTCGTGTCTCGCAGCTTCTTTTTATTAGACAAATAATAAAAAAAAACTTCGATGAATAAAGTAAAATTTTTATTTCAATACGTAAAAAAGTTCAAATCATCCGCCAAGTAGTTGTTCTTAATGTATGAAGACATACCGTAATTAAAATAATATTTTTATGATGAAATACTATCGATAGTCGACACATTAATAATGATTAGAATATGATACATGTGCACACACCTAATTAATGCACTATTTAACCAATGAGGAATATTTATAAAAGATGTATATCGAAAATAAAGGAAGTGACGACATTGTCTTCAGCATAGAAGGAACGCCTATGAGCAAATTTCAATTGAGGGCCACACGAGACAGCCTCCCCAAAAGGTGCCAATTATAAGCCATAGCGATTGTTCAAGGGAAATGAGCGCGAGGTGTCAAAATTTCGAGAGCTTGAACGTGGCAATTAGAGCGAGAGGCGAGAGAGTGTTTAGCCTATTAACTTTGCGGTGAGGAATAATGAGCTGGTGCCACCCTTAATTTAATTGAGACCTAAAAACTCGTGACTCGTAGAGACAGGAACAGGATCTTGCGTTGAATATCATTGAAACCGTAGTGACCAACTGCTTCCATGGGCTCATTATATTCTTCTTCACAGTTAATGGCATTCAAGTTAAAAGAAACATTTGCAGAGATACAGAAGTTAAATCTGGATCGTTTAATCATATTTTGATTCATGTTAAGAGAAAGGCAGAGATACAGAATTTAAATGTTCCAACGTTTCATCATATTTTGACGCCACATTCTCAGGGTTGGAATTTTTGAACATCAACAGCAGTCGATGATTACAGAACATTCACAGCATTTGAACCAGTTTAACGCGGCACTCCACAACGACGCGGTTTCAGAGCGCGCTGAACCGCGCAGTACCTAGTTCCCTAGAACCACGTACATGCAGAAAAACTTGCGTCTGGCGTTAATTTGAACGCATAACCAGACACGTTCTACTGTCGAGAAAAACTTAGCTTCCTCTTCAAGATTCAGTGCAAGTAAAATGTTTCAGTAACTTGGAACGTAATAGTAAAAAACACAATTTCGTGAGCTTTTTTACAACAAAATTCTCACAATAATAGTTGATTAGGTTCGAAGTATCCCAAAAATTTCCTAAAATATTTAATTATGCATAAACTTTCAAAGCAGTCACGAGATATTTTGGTTGACGGGCAGAAAGTTGAAACAAATACATTTAATTTAGAAAAGTATGTTTTGTTCAAGTATGTTTTGTTATCAAAATTATGTTTTGTAATCAAGGCTTTAACGCTAATAAATTGACTGCCTTGCCAAGTCAAATTTTGAGCATGTATATATTAAATCTATTGCAATAAAAATTGCATTCATTTTCCACCAATAGACAATGATGACCAAACATTAATAAAATTCACAATTATAACTTGCACCATCATAATCGGAAATTAGATCCAACTCATCGTCAGCCAACATCCTACCATTTCATCGGTCACATAAATCCTGCACTTGATTTGTAAATAAGAGGAACATAGGGCAAACATTCAAGATTATACATAGAATTATTTGAAGTAAATCGATAACATTATTACATCACTAACATTAAAAAAATTTAAAGGGGATATGAATGTCCAGCAAAAAGAAACATCGCTGACGAGTAAGAATAAGAAGTAGTGCAGAGACATGCGTGGTCAATTGGACCTAGAATTACAGATTAGCTGCACTCAATTTAATGCTTTTTAAGAAGACGGACACACTCAGGTTACGCATGGATTGTTATGTTATCAATAATTTGAAATGAACTTTTTGCGGCTAATTAATTGGCTACTCTAGTGAAATGAATGCGAAAAAAATATAACTCAGTACTCACTGCAGTGAGTGACAGAGGTCGCATTTTCTCGTCGACGAAAACATGAAGTGACGGACGGACAGAAAGACGGACAGACGGACGTACATGGCGAGCACAATAGTGCATTTTTTTCATAAATGAGAAAATGCGCTAAAAAGCAAAAAAATGTAAATGATTAATAGACATGTTTATCATACACACAATTCGAAATGGAGGGAAAACAGAGCCGCCATCCACACACAACACAAATTTCAATTATATATACTGAAAATGGATAGTTCATGTTATCATACACACAATTCGAAATGGAGGGAAAACAGAGCCGCCATCCACACACAACACAAATTTTAAATTATACATACTGAAAATGGAGACTCAATGTCGATCATAATTCAATATATCTATTTGGTATCATAAAATTCAGCATTCGCAAGCCTGGAAGACACCAGATTTATGATTGAATATGAAAATTAAGTTAAAATAAAATGAATACGTACATAGTATCAAACAGCAATCGTTTCTGTAAAGTAAATCTGATCACCACAGAAATTACCTCTTAAAAGTCGACCTGAACCACGAGCTCAGGAAATCACCTCCAAAATGCAGGAAATAAAGCAAAACGGCCAGAGAATTGAACTTAAGTAGCAGCCATCGCGCCGCGCAAAGCAGCACGGTGGCGGTCAAACTTAGGCCGCAGTCGGCAGTTTTAGAGCGATCATAGCCGGCACCGCGGTCACTAATGCCGTGTTCAATATCCCGCAAACCTGAGGCCGCGATTTACAGAACATGTATAAACAAGGGGCTAGTTGATGCACAGCCGGTGTGCATCATAGAAAGCAACTCGCAGGTGATTCCTGAATAAAACGAGAGTAAACCATAGAACATATAGCTTCTATTGATTAAGGATTACGATTTTTAAGCACTCTGCATCAACTTGGATTTCCTATCTCTGTCTACGTCTACATTTAACGCAAACAATGTCAAGTCTCTTTGATTTTAGCAAACACGACATGTTCACAATGCTTTAAAGCGCGGCGATTCGTTTACTTTTTCAGCTACCATGTGCTGACGCAGCTTATTTTTGACAAAATTGCAGTAATAAAACTTTACACATTTCAAGATCTGAACGGTAGAATCATAATGAAAAAATATTTCCCTGCTAATACAGTCACGTTGAAACGTACCTGGTATTCATATAGTGTCAAAACATCGATGATAATAATAAAATGAAAAACTTTTTGTTCCAATAGAAATCATTTACTGGATAAGTTCGCAAATTAAACTCCGCATGTATGCTACATATGTATAAGGATATAATTCTTTCTATTCGCGATTTAAATTTACCTCTAAAAATGATATGAGCCTATGTCCGAATAATGTATTACTAGTCTTTAACCATAAGTCTCATTATAAAGTTGGACCGATAACTCGTTTAAAAGCAAGGAATGGGTATACCGGAGTAATGCATTCCCATTCATTTATCATTTATCCCAGTTTTGAAGTAGGAGCACGACTTTCCGCCCTGAGTAACGTTGAGGAGTATCGACTTCTGGCAATCATGGTAGGCCACATCAATCGAACAGGTATTGGTTTCCAATTGAACATGGCTTCGCATTTCAATACAATGTTAGCATTACCGGAAAGTAGCTGGATCATTTGAAAGTAGTCTATATTGAATGGCAAAAATAGTTCAGAGGAAGGACGAAGTACTAATGCTAATAGGTACATGAAAATTGTAATTAAACGGAAGAACATTTACCGAGCTTAATTTAATTTAACAAAATGAATAAATTTGAACCGAATTTTTAGCAAGAGAGTTGAATGGATGTTAAATAAATCAAGGCTGTGCAGCAGTGAAGGAAATAATTATATAATGTCTGGCGATACTGTATCAGTACACATTATTACTATATCGCTTAGCTATTGAAGCCAAAAAACATTTTTGGCTCAAAATTCAGGATAAATGAGTTGGGATATGAGTAATCTGGACCATATTATACGCGTAGAATAATAATTAACGGAGCTCGTTCACCCTTACAACTCGAGGTTGACTATATCATATTGGAGGTAAACCAATGAAAGTGAAAAAAATTTTGAACCAGTGTATCTCACACTAATAGACATAAGCACATCACATACACTCAAGGATGGAAGCAATCTATCATCAAAATAAATAATGACAACTAAGAAAAAGCAGCATTTATGATGTAATTTTATACAGAAATATTGTGCATTAAATAGGTTAATTAGGCCGAACGGTCAAGACCCACTTTCGGCAGTTCGGGATGAGATCGAACGCGATTTTTCTCACCCTACAAAGCATTTAGTTTCAATGACTGGAAGAATCAGAAGGCAGGCGTGATTGAGTGGCTTCAGTGCATAAGCATAGCATTGGAGACATGAGGGCTGCAGCAAGTCAATTGCACGTGAACACTTGAGCAAAGCATAACAGGTTCTCTCGATAATGGCAGGTAACATGGCTACTTACGTCGCGTACAGAAATTGTTTAGTCATGAACAAAAGCATTATTTCTACTAAGATTGATGCATGTCAGCAGGAAGCTGTCGATTTATACTCGGCAACAGCGCAAGCGTTTCCTGAATGATTGTGTTTGACTTCTCGAACAAAGAAGGTGATGGAAATGCATTGGTCGGTGCAAGTTGGTGCAGTGACAGAAGAATTGCAAGAAGTAATATCGTTAATGCAGTTACGCTTCAGCATCAAGATTTGAAAATCAATTCACGAGTTAAGGCTTAAAGTAACTGCAAACTCCAACTCAACAAACCGATACAACCGGTAAATTGCATACTATAACCACTGGCTTTATTACGGTCATATTTTCGGTATAGTCATATAGACTCCCAGATCCTAAAACACACCCGGTAGGAACAGTAGGTTATTACTGGTTAAACAACAATTAAATTGCGTTACATTCATCTTTAATAATTAACAAAGCTATTATTTGCATGGTTTTCAGCAGGAGAAATTTTTATTTAAAAGACATACGAGAAAAGCTACTTGGAAAAATGAAGATTTTTCGCTGGGGTACACGACCATCTTAATCAATTACGGTCATGAACTAAAAATTGGCCGCCCCAACAAGATCACGGGTTTACGATGCAAGATAAAGCAAGGCAGCTAGAAAAATGCCATGCATTTTACACCGCGATGAAGCCGGCGACGGTTAGGCTGCCCCAGCACAAAATTGAAGCGAGACGCGGATAACGTCACCGAGGCCACGACTATGAGCAACGTCGACTCGCTTCATAAAGAGGGGAAACTATAGAGAATTTGGATGAATTCATATTATAGATTCTGCGAAAATTTAGTTACATATTTTAAAATGTTATGGAAAGAAATTTGGCTTATAAAAGTTCATACCAGTCTATGCTATGGAATCTTACTTGGATCAATCTTCAGGGATTTCATTTAGGCGAGGCTAGGGAGAGATCATTTAGACTAGTATAGAAAATAACACAAACTTTGTCGTTATTTTATCACAGTATGTGTGTAGAATTAAAATGGTTTTACCGAAACAAAACAATAGAAAGATGATCCATGCTGGGTCAACCAATAATTATAATCCTAGATGGATTCGACTTAAGCATATCTTCGCTATAATCTCTACAGCGCAATTTTAAGTTAAAATACATGATTCTGCTGAGGTCAAATTTTACAGGGATGCTAAATTTAGTCACTAGCGCTGGGTGTACTACCAAATATATTTCGCATTATTTACTCCCTGCACAAATTCCATTGAGACGAGATGTTGGAGGTAGATAGATACAGAGAGACACGAAAATTTACTGAACATCATTGTAATGGGGTGAAAAATTCCTTAAATATTAAGGCGGTAATTGTTTGCCACCAATGCTTTGTGTGAACATTCTTAATCTGAGAAAAAGTGACACACGTCAAAGTCTGAGCCCTTCACAAAACCCACAAAGGTCAGGGTACAGCGTGGCTTAGCCTCATACCACATGAAAATCAAAGGAAAAATATGGTGACTGACATACAAATGTCAGGCGGCCATTGGTAACACGGACTTAGTTTCGATACTTGAGTTAGGTTCCGAGAGCGCAGTAGCACCTTATTAGCTCTACGGAGTAAGTGAGAAAATCACGATGCAAATGTGAACGAAACTCATTTTACAAGATTTACGATTGAGGTATATAGTAATAAATCTATGTACAATACAGTATTAGCATCCAATAACCATGCAGAGCAACGATCGAAGCCAGAACTGTGCTTACAGAGCCTGACAAAAGACAGCTGCCATTTTTCCTTCTTATCTCGTTTTCTCCGAGAGTTAATCCAATATTTGTCATATATCTCATCTAGGACTAGAAGTTCCCCAAATTTCTAGGATTACCCGAAAATTCCGGTAACGTTTCGTTTTTGGAACTTCGCTCGTAAATGAAAAAAATTTCATCACTTTTTTTTACTTTTTATAGATACTTATAATAAAATTGTATATATATTTAGTAAAATTAATAAATTATTGCAAAAATTTGCTAACTGAACAAGTTGAAACGTTACAACAGCATATGAATTCTAAAGCGGAAACGCATGTCTGGGGCGAGTCTTGCTTTTTACGGCTGGCCGAGACATATGGGGTGTAGGAGTTGGTCTAGGTCTCTGGGAGTTTGAGTTGCCTTTGTGCGGTTAAAAGTACGGCGGCATTCAGAGTCTAATGCGTGACAAGTGGTGTTGCCTCCAATAGGCCCAAGACATCCCTAAGAAATTAACCAAACAAGTAGGAGTAGCTCAGGCGGCGAGATTTACCGGCTTGAAAAATTGAGGCTCGCATTATTATTTTTTTTGTATCGCTACTTTAAATCCAGAAGCTGGATTTAAAGTAATGCCTAGGTCGTCTTAATTTATGTACACGATCTAGTAAATTTGATTCCACTGGGATCTAGAGTAGGGAAATAATATGAAGCCAACACTAAAAACAAAAGAAAACGTGTAAAGCTCAGAACGCACAGAGAGAACGAATCTTTAAACACTCAAGATAGGAATGGCAAACGAATTACTTGCAAAATATGGAATGGATTTACATCCTACCTACTCTTTAGTTTCTGGAGCCCCAGTGAAAATGATCAAATTCAATGAATTTGAGATTTACTTGATTATTAATGCCGAGTTAGAAATACTAGGCATAAATTAATGAGATAGAAATAGAAGCAAGCGTGAGCGATATGTTCGCTAAAAACCTAATTCGATCCTTTGTCTAGCGACGGCCACTCGCGTTACTATACCTACGGTACTTTTTGGCACGAATAACACTGACCAAGATTTCCGTATCTCAATACAAAGACTTAAATTATAGCCGCTGAGTATTCATAAATGAACACAAGGTAATAAAGGAACGTTAAACAACCAGGAGATTAGGTTAAGACAGCTACGATACACATCATTAGCTGTTGACTCACCACTTAACTTGAAATACTCTGCTAATGCTCACAACAAGTCACAACTTGATAACGAATCGAAACAACGGGATTGCGTGAATATATTTTAACTCACCCGAATTCAAATCAAGAGAAGTTAACAGAAATTCACAGAGACATGACTGTAATATAAACACGATCAATTACTGTCCATTAGCACCAAAGAGTTATGGTGTTAGGAAGAGGCAGCATTCCTGCTCATTGCTCACAGGTAGACAAATGTAACTAACACTATACTGAAACCGTTGTAAGAAAATGGAAACGCCACCTGTACTGGCATCGTAAAGCTATAAGACCAAGAACATAAAATG